CAAGATCCTCCTGTCTGTCCTCAAGGACGTCCGTGCTAAGAGCACACTCACCCCCGACAGACGGAGGACAGACAGACTCAGACTCAGCAACAAGACTGGCAGAGTTGTCTAAACGACAGCGAGCAGCAAAGTCGACAAGCTTAGCAACTAGGGCCGACACAGAAGCAGACTCAAACGAAGGGTCAGTGACAGCAGTGGCCAGGAGGCGCGTGACAGTAGGACTGGCAGCATGAAGAGAGTCAGACTCCGGGTCAGCAAGAGCAGGAAGAGAGGACTCAGGAGGAGACGGAAGAGGGACACGCTGTGGAGCAGTGGAGGGACGTAGTGACATCTGGTGTGTGCCAGGGACTGGTGGCGGACGCTCACGCGGAGAACGGTGACTGGTGGAAGTAGCACGAACAGGTGACTCAGGACTGGACACAGGCGACACAGGACGAGACTCAGGCTCACGACGCTCTGTGAGACCGCCTGTAGGACCAGTGTAGGGAGAAGGACGTAGAAGTGGCGAGGCAGGCTGTAGCTGTGACTGCGACTGGACCGGAGGTGGACACTCTACAGAGGGAGAGGGACGAGGCGACTGACCAAGAACCTGCTGAAGGAGTGGAACGAAGTACGGCCGCGGCCGCGAGGTGCCTCCTGCAGGAGCAGAGACAGCACCAGAACCTCCAGCAACTCCAGCAGCACCCCCAGCACCTCCAGCAGCACCCCCAGCACCTCCAACACCTGGGTCTGCAGCACCAGCAGCAGCTCCAACGCCCGGGTCCGAAGCACCAGTAGCAGCCCCAACCCCAGGGTCCGCAGCACCAGCAGCAGCTCCAACGCCCGGGTCTGCAGCACCAGCAGCAGCTCCAACGCCCGGGTCTGCAGCACCAGCAGCAGCTCCAACTCTCGGGTCCGCAGCACCAGCACCAGGGTCCGCGACACTAGGAGCGCCACTCCTGAGACTGCAGCGCCTTGCGTACCACTCACGAAGACGCTGGGGAGAGGGCAGCTCCCGCCTAGGAGAGGAAGCACGAGCACCAGCTCCAGTAGCACTCCTAGCTCCAAAAGCACCTCTCTTGAGGCTGCAGTACTGAAAGTACCACTCACGCAGCTGCTGTGAGGAGAGAGCTCCTCCAGGCGTCGCACTCCCAGGCTCAGCACCCCCAGACTCAGCACCCCCAGACTCAGCACAAGCAGGCTCCGTACCCCCAGGCTCAGCACTCCCAGGCTCAGTACCTCCAGACTCCGCACCCCCAGTCTCCGCAACCCCAGGCTCCGCACTCTCAGGCTCAGCACCCCGAGCAGGACGAGAGTCGACAGCTACCTCGATAGGCTCAACCGGGTCTACCTGGGACACACCTGAGGGAGCGGCACCCTGAGGAGGGAGGGGGTCTACCACAGCAGCACCTGGCGCGAGGAAGAGAGGCGGGGGAGGGAGCGGGGCAGTGCGGTAGGGGAAGAGGCGGTAGAAGGGTACCGACTCGTCAAAGGTGACGTCCTGAGAGGCGAGGACACGGCGCGAGGTGGGCGGTAAAACTGCCAACCAGACGCGTCCAGAACAAAGCCTAGGAAGACACACGGATCAGCGCGGGAGGAGAGCTTGTCCGCGGACGTATCGCGAACAAAAGCTCGAGATCCCCAGACCCAAAAACGCGACGCATCGCCAACCTCTCCCGTCCAACGCAGTGTCGGGGAGGTCTCCGGCAAGGAGACACGGGGCTAGAGGTTGAGCTGATGCGCAGCGTATTGGACCGCAAACGGCCACAGAAAGTGGGGGGCAGCCGAATGGATCAAGGAGGTACGAGCGACCTCCATGACCAAGCCAATGCGGCGCTCAACAACCCCATTCTACTGTGGAGAGGCCTGAAGCGTGAACGAGTGGCGGATGCCGTGCTCCGCACAGTAGGCTGCCAAGAGGTCGGAGGAAAACTCACCACCTCTGTCAGAGTGCAAGCGCAGGACAGGAAAGTCCGAGTGGAAACGCTCGCTGAGCTGAAGACGAGAAGCGCGGATCCAAGGGATCAAAACATCAGGGACCTCACCCTTGGTGCGCAAGGGGAAGACCGTGGTGTAGCGCGAGTAGTCGTCAACAACTATCAGGAAGTACCTCTCCTGACCCTGACCACGGACGCGGGCGGGGCCCCACACGTCCATGTGGAGCGTCTGCAAGGGAGCAGTCGTCGGGGGAAACGAGGAGGAGTGAGGAGCAGCGCGCTGCCGCCCCTCGACACAGGGAAGGCAGGAAGGAGCAGGCGAGGGTGGGAGGGGAGGGAGAACTCTGGGAAGACCAGAGACAAGGTACCGTTTGTGCATTGCCCGAAGGCGCTGCACGGACGGGTGACCAAGTCGGTGGTGCCAGAGGACGGTCTTGTGCGCCAGAGAGCGGCACGAGCAGGGGGCCGACAGCTGACTTGACGCAGACGCAGACTCAGCTACCTGAGGGGACTCAGTAGTCAGTGTGTACAGGTCCGACCCCGGCTGCCGAGTGAAGGTCGCCAGGTGACGGCCCGTCCGAGCACACGTGCAGTGTGTCACGCGCTCGTAGGCATGGGTGAACTGGTGGACACCCCTGTCCTGGAGCGCACTACCCACCACCAAGTTTGTAGAGAACAAGGGGAGGTAGAGACCGGACAGTGTGCTTGACGGGACGGCCGGACTGGGGAGGACAGTGGAGGAGGTCGCAAGGACTGGACCCCCAGAGGGGTCAGCGAGAGAGACAGCAACGGGCCGAGCAAGCTGCTCAAGAGCCGTGCGGTCACAAAAGAAACAGCGAGAGGCACATGAGTCTAGTGTAAAGGTGTGCAGTGCCGCAGTCGACTCAGTACCAGGGGGGGCAGACGCACCAGCACCTAGAGCAGCAGCCTCACCAGCACCTGGGGTAGCAGACACTCTAGCACCTAGAGCGGCAGCCTCACCGGGTCGAATGCCCGGGTCGGGCGGAACACGCAGGTACTGGGCACCCTCTCCATAAATAGACATCACATATATGGCAGAGAGAATAGCATCAAAGTCTAGAGCAAAGATATCAATGTTTTGCTTCATCAGATCAGCCCAGCGGGGCAGCTCAGTGGCGTCAAGGAACTGAGTACGCAAAGCGTCGTCGAGGCGTGAGAAGCAGCGCTGCGTGGGGGGCGCCCTCCCACACGTTTGACCAGTGCGGTCACCAGTGCGGATGACGTACGTGCAGCTAAGGCCACCCCCCCCCCCCGTGCTGAGCGTACCACTCACGGAGCTCCTGGGGCGACGGAGAGTGCTGCAGGCTCTGGCCACCGCTAGTGCCTCCACAACTACCACCGCCACCGCCACCTCCTCGACCACCTCCTCCCCTACCGCCGCCGCACCCACCGCCGCCCCCACCACCGCCCCCGCCCCTGCCACCTCCCCCGCCGCTGCCGCCACCACCCCCACCGCCGCCACCACCCCCACCGCCGCCACCACCCCCACCACCGCCTCCCCCGCCGTCACCTCCGCCTCCCTTGCCCCCTTTGCCCTTGCCGCTGCGGCGCCCGCTCGAAGTAGACGCAGCCCCGACCTTCTCAGAACCAAGGAGGTCGACAGCAGAAGCAGAGGCTACAGAGGGAAGAAGGGGGGAAGGGGAACACCCCTCAAAGAAAGGGGTGCGGGGGTCGCCACGAGAGGCACCTACAGCGACTATGCTAGCCTCAGCTGCAAGCAGTTCCTTCTCGAGGAGGGCAATGGTGAGCTCAGTGGGGCAGCGAGCTAGGAAGTGATCCCTGACAGCACGCAGAGTGTCAGGGAGGCGGGTGACTAGGTGGTAGATGTCAGAACATTATAGCTTATACATTTGTGTAGGCTGTAGTGGGGTAGCCCATAAGGGGTACAACCCAATAAGGGTTAGTACTTGTACCCAACTGTTTCATAGTACATTCATTCCATTCTCACTTCTCCTCATGGTATCGAGCAGGTTCCCGAGTGGGAATACTGCCTAGGGCCCACCACGAACTTTTTTTTTCCTTCCCTGCCCGGAGCGCGCTTAGCTCCTAACCCGAGTAGCGCCTCGAGCCGCCTTAGTGGCCCCTATGGGCCGCCCTTACTGCCCCTCGAGTCGCCCTCTACGGCCTCGCTTAGGCCCCGCTACGGCCCCGCTACGGCCCCGTCGGCCCAGTCGGCCCCACTACGGCCCCGCTACGGCCCCGTCGGCCCCGCTACGGCCCCGCTTAGGCCCCGCTACGGCCCCGTCGGCCCCACTACGGCCCCGCTTAGGCCCCGTCGGCCCCGCTACGGCCCCGCTTAGGCCCCGCTACGGCCCCGCTACGGCCCCGCTACGGCCCCGCTACGGCCCCGCTACGGCCCCGTCGGCCCCACTACGGCCCCGCTTAGGCCCCGTCGGCCCCGCTACGGCCCCGCTTAGGCCCCACTACGGCCTCGCTACGGCCCCGCTACGGCCCCGTCGGCCCCGCTTAGGCCCCGCTTAGGCCCCGCTACGGCCCCGTCGGCCCCGCTTAGGCCCCACTACGGCCCCGCTACGGCCCCGTCGGCCCCGTCGGCCCCATTACGGCCCCGCTACGGCCCCGCTACGGCCCCGCTTAGGCCCCGCTGCGGCCCCGCTACGGCCCCACTTCGGCCCCGTCGGCCCCTCTACGGCCCCACTTAGGCCCCACTTCGGCCCCGTCGCCACCGCGGCCCCGCCCACCCTTGCGGCCCGCCGCCACCTGCGACCTCGCCACCACCTGCGACCCCGCCTCCCAGCGCCCGCAACGCCAAGCAGCCGAACCGCCGGCCACCTAAGCCGCCCGACCTCCCCAGCCGCCCAGCAGTCGAGCCGCCTGACAGCCGAGCCGCCCAGCACCGTGCAGCCGAGCCGCCCAGCAGCCGAGCCGCCCGACAGCCGAGCCGCCCAGCACCAGCAGCCGAGCCGCCCAGCACCCGAGCCGCCCAGCAGCCGAGCCGCCCTGCAGCCGAGTCGCCCGACAGCCGAGCCGCCGAGCAGCCCGATCGCTCCACCTACCTGGTAAGAGCACAATCTTTGCCACTGCACTGCCCTGCCTTTTGCTGTTATGGCTTCCCCTAGCGTTCTCACCTTTGACGCTGAGGGTCGGGCAGTGGACTTTGAGGTCTGGGTAGATGATCTGCAGCTTTTCCTGCAGTGCGATAGGGCAGACGGTCTCTCCCTGTTTGACCTCACTTCTGGTGCCTCCCCTGCCCCTGCTGCTGATGCTGACGCCACTGTTCGCTCACAGTGGGCCACACGTGACGCTGCTGCTCGCCTTGCTGTGCACCGCCACTTACCGACCACTGAGCGTGCACACTTTAGCCAGTACAAGAGTGTTCAGACCTTGTACGACGCTGTAGTTGCACGCTACTCTTCCCCTGCCACTACTGCACTGAGCCGCCTTATGCTACCGTACCTCTTCCCTGACCTTGCTGCCTTTCCCACAGTCGCTGACCTCATTACGCACCTCCGCACTAGTGACACTCGCTACCGCGCTGCGCTTCCTGCTGAGTTCTGCGCCAAGACCCCCCCCCCCCCCCCATGTACATCACCCTCTACTACATAGTCACCCGTCTCCCTGACTCTCTCCGTGTAGACAGGGACCACTTCCTCTCTGTTTGCCCCACCACTCTCACCGTTGACCTCCTCGAGAAGGCCCTCCTAGCGATAGAGAAGAGCATAGTCGCTGTAGGAGCCTCTCGTGGTGACCCTCGCACCCCCGTCTTTGAGGGGTGTTCTCCCTCCCCCCTCTTGCCCTCTGTTGCCTCCGCTGGTGCGGCCAACCTTGTTGGTTTCGAGTCGGTCGGCGCTGCGTCTGCCCCGAGCGGGAGACGCCGCACCGGCAAGGGCAAGGGGGGCAAGGGCACTGGAGGAGGTGGAGGGGGCGGTGGAGGTGGTGGTGGAGGCGGTGGAGGGAGTGGGGGTGGTGGTGGGAGTGGTGCTGGGGGTGGCGGCGGCGGCGGCAGCAGTGGAGGCGGCGGAGGCGGCGGAGGTAGTGGAGGAGGCGGAGGTGGAGGAGACGGCGGAGGCGGCGGAGGCGGCGGCGGCGGCGGAGGCGGCGGTGGTGGAGCGAGCCGCGACTCTGCGTCGAGGAGTGGCGCCGGTGGTGGTCAGCGCCAGCAGCAGCAGCGGAGTGGTGTGACCCTGTCCCCTCAGCAGCTTCGTGAGTGGTACACTGCACGCCATCGCGGTGGGGGTTTTGGTCCCTGCTCTTACGTTCTCCGTACCGGCAACCGCACTGGTGAGCAGTGCGGGGGTCCGCACTCCACCCAGCGCTGCTTTGGTCGCCTGACGGACGTGTGGCGTCGCCAGTTCCCTGAGGCCTCAGAGATCCCTCGCTGGGGAGATCTGGCTAAGGCCGGGGTTGCTATCTTTGATCTTGACTTTGATGCTATTCTTGCTGCCATGTATGCTGTTGCTGATAGTGTTGAGGGTGCCTGTTACCTGTGTGTACCGCCTAACCTGGGCATTGAGGCTGCTGCGCTAGGTGCAGGTGAGACTGCTGCTCTAGGTGCTAGTGCGTCTGCTGACCCAGGTGCCAGTGCGTCTGCCGCCCCAGGTGCTGGTGAGTCTGCTCTCTCAGGTACTACGTCGGCTCAGGCCTTCCACACCTTCACCCTGGACTCGGGTGCGTCCCGCTCCTTCTTTCGAGACCGCACCACTCTTACGCCGCTCAGTCGGCCGGTTGCAGTCTCCCTAGCAGACCCCTCTGGGGGTCCTGTCCTTGCTAGCTTCTCCACTGTCCTTCCGTGCCCTGCAGCCCCCTCTGGCACCATGTCTGGTCTCTACCTCCCCTCGTTCTCTACGAACTTGGTGAGTAGAGCGGACCTACAGGATCGAGGGGTTGACTAGTTCACTCCTGCGAGTCAGCGAGTGACCCACTGCACGTGTGCTCGGACAGGCCGACACTTGGTCACGTTCACCCGTCGGCCAGGGTCGAGCCTGTACACCCTTACTGCTGAGTCTCCTCCTTCTGCTGAGTCTGCCTAGGTAGCTGCGTCGAGTCAGGTATCTGCTGCGGCGTCCAGGTCTGGTCGTGAGTCTGCCCCCTGCTCGTGTCGTCTGCTGTCCCACCATACTCTCCTTTGGCACCACCGCCTTGGTCACCCCTCCTTGCCTCGTCTCCGAGGCATGGCCTCCCGTGTCCTTGTCTTTGGTCTTCCTCGGTCTCTCCCTCCCCTTCCTCCGGGGCCTGGCCCTACTTGCGTCCCCTGCGTTGAGGGGCGACAGCGCCGCGCCCCTCACTCCTCCGAGTTTCCTCCGACAGAGGCTCCGCTGCAGACTCTACACATGGACGTCTGGGGCCAAAGGCCATGTGCAGACTCTGCAGGCTCCGCCTCGTTCTCCTCCAGTTTTGTACGTAGACAACAAGGCCATGCTGGCCTTGTGTTGGGAGCACAGACTGGAGCACAGAACGAAGCTCATTGCTCTCCGCTACTTCCTGGCTCGTGAGCTGCAGCAGCGTGGTCAGCTCCGCCTCACCTACGTGGCCTCTGAGGCCAACACTGCTGATATCTTCACCAAGGCCCTTCCGCCTTGTGATCATCAGCGCTTCTGTACTGTGCTAGGTCTTATGCCTATCTGGCCTCACTTGCTTACTTCTTGATCTTGTTTGTACTGTCTTCTTTCTATACCTGCCCTTGCTTGTTTTACCTTTATATATATGACCTTGCATGTGAACTGGCCTTGTGGCCTTACTCTTGTGCTTGGATTGTGTGGTGACTTTGTGATCCACCCTGAGCTTGCTTTGCTTTGCTTTGCTTTGCTTGACTGGTCTTGTGACCACTTGTTCTCCCCCACTTTGCCTATGGGGGTGTGTCAGAACATTATAGCTTTTACATTTGTGTAGGCTGTAGTGGGGTAGCCCATAAGGGGTACAACCCAATTAGGGTTAGTACTTGTACCCAACTGTTTCATAGTGCATTTATTCCATTCTCACTTCTCGTCAGTAGAGAGTGAGCCAGAGCGGGGGAGGGTTCTTGGCAAGGAACTCGTCGGGCATGGCGGCATGGAAGCGGGCCTCACTAGTACGGAGGTGCGTGATGAGGTCAGCGACTGTGTGGAACGAGGCCAGGTCGGGAAACAGGTAGGGGAGTGAGAGACGGCCTAGCGCGGCAGAGGGAGGTGAGGAGTAGCGGGCAACGACAGCGGTGTACAGTGCCTGTGCAGTCTTGTGCTGGCCAAAGTGCTCGCGCTTATCTATCGGCAGGGAGTTGCGAATAGCGAAGCGAGCGTGGGCGTCACGAGTCTGCCACTGTGAGCGGGCTGTGCTGTCAGCAGTAGCAGCAGGAGCAGTAGCATGGCCTAGGGCGTGATCGTACAGTGAGATGTCCTCCTTGGCAGTGAGCTGTAGGAAGAGGTGTAGGTCATCTAGCCAGGTTTCGAACTTCACTGGGCGGCCCTCAGCATCGAAAGCTAGCACAGGAGGGCTAGCCATAGCAGTAGTAGGAGAAGCAGTGAGGTAGCAGTGGTAGTAGTAGGTGCACCCTCAAACAGTAGGCAGTGCGACACAGGTAGGGCGGCTCGGTCCAGTACGGGCGGCGCGGCTCGGTTCAGGTAGGGCGGCTCGGCTCGGGTAGGGCGGCTCGGCACGGTTCAGGCTGGGCGGCTCGGTTCGGGCTGGGCGGCTCGGTTCGGGCTTGGCGGCTCGGTTCGGGCTGCTCGGTTCGGTCGGCTCGTTCTGGCGGGGCCGTGGGTGTCGCATCGCGGTGCTAAGGGGCGGCGCGTGGGTCGAGGGGGGGCCGACGGGGCCGCTAAGGGGTGGGCGCGCGGGGCAAACGGGGCCGACGGGGCCTCTAAGGGGTTCGCGCGCGGGGTCGACGGGGCCAGCGGGGGCCGCTAAGGGGGGCGGCACGCGGAGTCGTCGGGGCCAGCGGGGCCGCTAAGGGGCGGCACGTGGGGTCGACGGGGCCGACGGGGCCGCTAAGGGGTGGGCGCGCTCGGGGCCTAGGGGGGCGACGGGGCCTCTAAGCGGGGCCAGTGGGGCCTCTAAGGGGCGGCGCGCGGGTCGCTAAGAGGGGCGGGTCGCGGGGCCTTAGGGGGCCGTGAAAACGAGGTGCACGAGGGCGCTAGGGGGGAGGCGCTCGAGGGCGCTCCGACAGTGGGGGGCACGAGGGCGCTAGTAAGCAGCAGTAGTGGTGGGCCCTAAGAATCGGTCCTAGCGGTGGACCTGCTCTGATTCCATGTTACGAAGAAGAAGTGATTGCACTATGAAAGTTGGACTACAAGTAGGAAACCCTAACTTTGTGTACACCCTAAAGGCTAACCCACTATAGCCTACACAATAATAACACATATAGTGTTTGACACTCCTCTCATAGTCCCTCCTCCTCCACACTTGCCCTTGGTGATAGCCTCTAGCTTTGCTTACATTTGTGAACTTTAAACCGTTGCTTCTTGTACTTGTGCTCAGATTGTGTGGTGACATTGTGATCCACCCTGAGCTTGTTGTGCTGATTACACCCCACTTTGGCTATGGGGGTGTGTCAGAATGTTATGTTTGTCTAGCCTGCAGTGGGGTACTCAATAGTGAGTACAGCCCAATTTAGGGTTTGCTATATGTACTCAACTGCTTGCTAGTGAACCTCCTTCTCTCTTCTTAATTCCTCATTCTTCACAACAGTGCCCAGAGAATTCCAGCAAGTTCGCGAAGCGTGCTTGAGGTGGCCAACAGCGCACGGGGAAACGGGGAGGAGCTTGAGCCGGCTCGGCCATCCGGCGTGGAATAGCAGCTTCCCCAAGCATGGTCGCTGGAATCCACGTACATGACAACGTCATATATGTGCTGATTATGGAAGCATGAGCCGTTGAAGGCATCGAACTGAGTCAGCCAGAATCGCAGCTCGTCTATCGATTCCGGTGACAACTTGATGGATTCCCCCCAAGACCGACATGCATTGATTTGAGAGAGCAGGTGATGGGAGAAGGCGCGTGCGACAGTACCGAGCGCCAAAGCCATAGAAGCTAGCATGCCAGTTATCCTGACCGCGCGACGAACCGGGATACGATGCCCATGCATACTCGTCCGGCGTATGTCTTCTAGCTCGTCAAACAAGCGGTCCCGGCGAGAAGCGTCGACTGAGAAAATTGTTGTGTGAGTATCCAATATAAGGCCAAGAAATTTAAGCCGTTGTGATGGCTCGAGCTGTGACTTTTCCATATTCACGATAAAACCGGTAGAACGAAGGTCCTCTAGGATAATGGCTCGAGTGCGGAGTGTCTCTGACCGCGTCGCACAGATGAATAAGAGATCGTCGACGTAAGGAATTAGTCGAATGCCTCTGCTGCGCCAGCGCTTGGCAAGTTGCTTAATCAACAGTGTAAAGACGAACGGCGCTGTGGCGAGCGAGCCCGAATGGCAATGAAAAAAATTGGTATCGTTGGCCTTGCAAGGAGAATCCGAGGAACCGCCAAAATGAGGGGTGGATATCCACGTGATGGTAGCCCGACTTAAGGTCTATTGTGAACAGCTATTTGCCCTGGCGCACTAGGTCGGGGACCCGATTGAGTCCTTCATATCGAAACCGAGGGATAGAAAGGAAGGAATTCACGTGGCGAAGGTCTAGTATGAGTCTCTTCTTTGAAGGTTAGACAACCACGTTGAGTGGGCTAATACATGTAAGCGGCGCATCACGAGGGACGATGCAAGCGGCGCCGGTGGTGAGTAGGCCGGATACTGCCTCTAGCGCAAATGTCGTATGTTGCAACGCACCCACATGGTTCGAGGCGTGGTGGGGAGTAGGTTCGACTGACCGCCATGGTAGGCAATACCCCGACATAACGACTGACCGAATGAAAAGGCTCGAACACCAAGTGTTCCACCACGGGGTGCGGTCACGCAAACGTCCTCGCATGTGTTGCACGACTCCATGTGCGTCACTCAAGTTGGGCATGAAGCCAGATTCTGGCAGGGTATGGGAAGTAGTATGGACACGGTCGTATGAGGCGAGTGAGTGGATTATAATCTAAACTAATTATACCCTTCCATGCGGTGTAACAATACACCTTATATTATTGTCGTGACCATATATCATGCCCTGACGAAATGATGTGGACTCTCGCGCCCAATTGTACATAGTACCCTGATGGAGGCATTGTCCCACTATCTTTTATAGTTTCTCCCCTCCCTTTTTTTTTTTTTTTATTTTTTTTTTTTTGAAGGGCTAGTTGTTGTGTCTTCTTTCTTCTTTATTTATTTAGGGCACTCTTCTTTGTCTCTTGATAAAATGATCACCACATTTTGTTTTCACCAATAGTGTCCCCAAGAGAATATATGAACGAAGCATTTATCACCAACGCTATCTTTCATAATAGGAATTACCACCCACAGGTTTTCAAGCAATCTTAGCGGGCTGATTAGCCCCTTGGCCGCGTTGCGGGCAATTGGCTATTCCGTGGCCGGGCTCGCGGCAATAAAAACAACGTCCATCGCCATCCCGACGCCAAGTCCAATTGCGTTCCCCTTGGCCTCGATTGCGAGGGGCGGGATTCGGGCGAGATGCGGCGGTGGGCCGATGCGGCCTTTTCTTGCTGGCCGCCACAATTTGAGAGGCCGCCTTGACGTTTTTGTCCTCCACTACCTCCCCATACTTAATCTTTAAGGCCATGTTGGCCACCTCGAAACCGCGTTGATCCGCGGTGAATAAAAAATGAATCTTTTCTTCAGCCTCGTCAACTATCTGCTATAGGTAATCGGTAAGTTGCTCGCCACCGTGTGAAGGTACGATGGAAATAGCATGACGTGTAATAGCTTGAATGCGTTCGAAACTAAAGAGTTGAGTGCGAATGCCGTCACTTTTCACGAGAGAAGAACGCAACTGAGGGCGTGCAGGAGGAATGGGAGCCAGGATAGGGGGTGTTGTAGTGGGCTTGGGACGAACGGTATAACCTTCATCGAGATTTTCGGAATTGACTTGGTCGCCGTCGTCCTCACCCTCAGGATTAAGAGGAGGAGGGGGAGCGCGGGGCCGAGGTGCCGTTGCTGCGACGGGACGGACGGGATCAGCTGTACCGCAGGTTCAAGAGCGTCGCCGCGTTGGAGCGCCGCGAGAAGCCCGAGCACGTGTCGAATCGCCTCGTTATTATTTGCTGCCGCTCCAATGTTGTTTCCATTATAACGCGCCGAGTTGTTTTCAGCTGAACGGTGCTCTGTCGAAGCACTGGATATGGCTGTAACGCGATCACCGCCAGTTTTTGTGAAGATTCGTCGTAGGCTCTGCTGGCTGGCGGGGTCAAGGCGAGCAATAATTTCGGCGATTTCCAAAATCCCAGCTGCCTGATTGCGCGTATCCTGATGATCGCCTTGATTCGCCAGGCAATTTGCAGAATCAGAGCGACGACTTTCGAGCGCAGGATCCCGGGTCTGACGGTCGCGATTTGCACGCGCTGGATCCTGGTCGCGATTTGCGCGTGCAGAATCGCGATCGCGATCTGCCCGAGCAGAATCGCGATCGCGATCTGCCCGAGCAGAATCGCTTTGATTGCGATCTGCTCGGGCCGATTCGCGATGATTGCGACATGCAGGCGCAGGACCGCCATCATTGCGGGCTGCAGGCACAGAACCGCGATCATTACGGTCCTGCGCCTCGGGTGCTGGGGCCGGCCGAGCTGGGGCGTTTTCGCCTGGCAGGGACGCGTCAGCAGCTGCACGTGGGGAACGACCCTCGCCTTGAAATCCGGGAGGACCTCCTTGATCGTTACTGCCGTTACCACCGTTTCGACGGGAACTTTCGGGATCAGCGGCAGAAATGGCCACGCCATTTAACAGCTCCAGCACAGGCAAGGTCCGGTTTCCGTCATTTCGACGAGGGGATCGTTAGCGTTCACGTTGGGATGAGGAAACGCGATCCTCGTCCCTTGTCGGGGATCCGCGCCTGCCGCTGCTGCGCGTAACCATTCATGGCGCGGGAGGACGACCGGTTACGGCGGAAACAAAACCAGTAGCCATGGACGAAAGTCTGACGTTGATTACGTCTTCAACTAGTGTGCTCCTATGCCTTCCTCTAGGCATAGAAAGGGTTTAGGGAGTGTGTTGAAGCAAATCAAGATCTGAAAATGAGAATGAGACTAGGTGGCAGGTCCCTATGAGAATGTGAAGGAACTTGTCTCCTTTACAGCGAAATCCTCTTCTAGTCGAATCACAATCTTCAATTTTTTTAAGTAAACTTTAAAATTTTTTACATATTGTTCGTGAGCATGATGTTTGGAGCTTCACATAAGCCAACGTGGGCTTGCGTTCATCGTCAGCTAGTGACCACCCTGACCACTTCCCTCCCGTCCTTGCAGGTGGGCTGCATAAGAACGACTTTGTGCTGGCAGCCAATATCAACGGGCTGCACCTGGATGATCTGCTTCGAAAGCCAAAGACCAAGATTGCTGGTTGAATCAGTGCAAGCTGAGGGGATACTTGGAAATGGTTAGTTACGCTGTATGTTCTGCCATCTGTGTCAGAATGTTATGTTTGTCTAGCCTGCAGTGGGGTACTCAATAGTGAGTACAGCCCAACTTAGGGTTTCCTATATGTACTCAACTGCTTGCTAGTGAACACCCTCTCTTCTTCATTCCTCATTTCTTCACATGCTATCAGAGCGTCTACGCTCCTGGCCTGTGGTCCCACCTAACTGCTTCCGCTGCTACTCTGTGTTCGGCACGCCCCGTGGCGTGCCCCTCGCGCTACTCTTGGCGGCCCCGTTGCCGCCCTTCCAGGCCCCTCGCGGCCCCTTCGCGGCCCCGTTGCCGTCCTTCCAGGCCCCTCGCGGCCCCTTCGCGGCCCCGTCGCCGCCCCTTTCGCGGCCCGTCGCCGCCCTTCCAGGCCCCTCGCGGCCTCGTCGCCGCCCCTATCGGCCCCATCGACGCCGCCAGCGGCCCCGTCGCCGACCCTAGCGGCCCCGTCGCCGCTCCTATCGGCCCTGTCGCCGCCGCCAGCGGCCCCGTCGCCGCCGCCAGCGGCCCCGTTGCCGCCGCCAGCGGCCCCGTCGCCGACCCTAGCGGCCCCGTCGCCGCTCCTATCGGCCCCGTCGCCGCCGCCAGCGGCCCCGTCGTCGCCGCCAGCGGCCCCGCCGCCGCCTCCAGCGGCCCCGTCGCCGCCACTTGCGGCCCCGGCCCCGCCCCGGCCATGCCCCATCGCCAGCCGCGGCGCACCGGGGGCACGTGCACCGCCCCCCCCCCCCCCCCCCCCCCCCCCCCCTTTTCCCGTCGCCCGTCGCGGCTCCTTCGGGGGCCGGGCGACCTGGGGGAGGGGGGCGAGCATCGCCCCTTCTGCCGCCTGTTTTGGCGCCCTGGGAGACCGCGCGTCCCCCCCTCCCCCGTGAGACCAAGATTGCTGGTTAAACCAGTGTAGGCTGAGAGGATACTTGGAAATGGTTAGTTACGCTGTGTGTTGTGCCACTTGCCAATGCGGCTTGAGTTGTGTGTAAATAGTGTGTCAAATTGTGCATGCACACAGTGTTTTGGTGTGTGGTTAATGTTGAGGTTGCAGCTTCTTGTTGGGTTTTTTATTCACATCACATAATCAATGGAATGGAGATTTTCTATTGATAATACCCATTTTTGTGAACCGTAGTCCCCCATTACCAACACCCACAGACGTCCTTCCAGGGTATAGCTCGTGCTTCTCTAATTTTTTAAGTAGACAGATTTCATGTGATAGCTCCCTAGTACCGTAACAATCCTACATAAAGGAGTTATTGTTACCATGGTATTTTGGCGTGCAGCTTGATGTTTCGAACTAAAGCAAGCACCTACCGGTATTTATATCGAAGACGACTCAAAGCCACTTTCCCAATTCGTATCTCCAAGCACACAAACGTCAATTCCCATGGCTGCTGATCTGAATCCAGCAACTGAGCATAGAGCAGGCGCAGACCAATCCCACAGTTCTGCGTTCGCTCAGCACAATCCTTGGAAAGGCATGACGATGCGCGATAGTTTTGCGAAACGCTTTCGCGAACGGTGTGTATTCTCTTGTAGAAAGTGCTTCCCGGAAACGGCTAGGAATCATGTACGAAAAAAGTGGCGGGAAACTGGTGACGCGGCTCGAGGGTCTCACGAACCTGAAACGCAGTGACACCTAGAGAATGTCCCCGAACCTCCCACCCCGATGATTTCGCCTGACACGGCTCCACCAAGATTTCCGAACCTGAACCCCCAGAGGAAGACGCTCTGAAATCCGTCCACACACCTCGCTCATTGCTTTCCCCACCGTTTGATTTGTATGACGTGGCACGCGAATGAGTAGGCAGCGGGGCAGACCGAGGCTGGTACGCCAATGGTCAGGCAGAGGAGGCATGTGGGCGAGGAGGCAAAGGGTTGAGCAACCGAGGACGGAGTAGAGTAGAAAGAGGTCGTCACGGTTGGAGCTTACCATTCCTCTGCCGTTCTATCGATTTACAGTCAACAGACCTTCCAGCAATCAGAACGATTAGCCTCCCCAGCAATCTGCTATCAACAATCTCCTCGCAGCCAAAGTAACATGGCTTCTTACGCTGATAACTGCAATGTTAACTCTGCTTTTCAAACTTCGAGCTGTCCTGCAAGGCCTACCAGAGGCATTGGCAGGTTCGGAACCCCTAAAACCGTTTTCTCGCCTGCAGCGTACTCTCCTGTCAAGCCTGCTGCTTGCAACGGCGACGCTGAGGTGTGCTGCAGCAGCGTGCTTCTGAAGAGCGTGAGGCCGCTGCTGGAAAATCTGGCGAAGCACATGCATGCGTCGTCCTCGCAAGGCCTCGCTGACGGCCGGCACAAGCCCATCAAGTCGTACGTACCTGATGCACCTGATGTGAAGCGGCCTGGAATTGGCCGCTTCGGAGGCAAGCCTGCTGCTGCCGTGCTTGCACCTGCACCTGTGGTCGTCAGTGCTGCTGCAGTCACACCGTCTGCTGTGGTTGCGCCTGTGGTGGTGCCTGAGGTAGCGCCTGTGGCTCCAGTGGCTTCAACCACACCACAGGTGGCTGAAGCGAGTTTGACCACAGAAACGTTATTCGTGGAGGCGAGTGCACGTGCTGCTGATCCGAGTGAAAAAACGAGGTGGGCGAAGCTGCGTCAGGAGGTTCGAGCTATGGACATTGCAATGACACGTGCTGCTTACCTGAGGTGGGACAAGCTGAGTAAGGAGAAATCTTGGGCCATGGAGATTGAAGCCGCCATCGAAGCGGCCTTGCGTACCTGCTTCGTGCCAAAGCATCCTGATGCTGTGGCGAATCTGACTCCTCTTGCATCTGCAGCAGCAGCAGCGGCTGTAGCAGTGTCCGCAGCACCAGCTGCTCCCTCGCTAGCAGCTACAACAACAGTGAAATCACCTGCTGCGGCATCATCAGTGAAAGAAGCAGCAGCAGCAGCACAGAAGCCAAAGCCTGCTGTTGCAGGAAGGTGCAAGGTGGGGGTTGAAAGTGCGAAGGACAAGAATGGGTGCAGCAGCAAGGTGGTGAGCATGGGTGTGAAGGGTGGTAAGGGCAATAACACTCGTGCAAGCTCTGCCCTATGTGCAGCAGCATCTCCAGTTGCGGGATCACGTGGTGGTGCATCATCAGTGAGAGCAGCTAACAATGCCAGAAGCAGACAAGCGGGTGGGGTGAAGAGGAGAGAGGAGGGTGGGTGTGGGGAGGGAGCAGCAGGGAGGGCAGCAGGTGGAAGGCAGGGTGGTGTGAAGGCAGCAGGTGGCAGAGCAGTGGCAAGTGGCGTGTGTGGCAGGGAGGGGGTGAAGCAGCAGGCGGGGAGGAGAGAGGGTTTGGTGCATGAGAGGCAGGCGAGGCCAGGCTGCAGCAGCAGCAGCAGGGCGCACAGAAGGAGCTCCTGAAAGAGCACTCATAGGCATGCCGGCCATGCAATGGCTGCTCTCAGCATGAGAACATCCCATAGGAACACTGAAGGGTGGGCTGGATTAACTCCCAGCTGCTGTTGGGTTAAGTAATGACTTCTAGGAAGTTTGATGTACATTGTATTGTAGGACTTGTAGTGTTGAAGTAAATTGCATTGTAAACTCTCTGTTTCAACTGGGTGAAAGGAGAGCATTTCGCTAAGAAGAGTGCAGGAGCACAATATCATCACCAATGTACCTCAATTCAACACACACAGGTGATTTTGGTACATAATTAGTATCTTCAAAGCAGTAGCTCCCAGAGGATCATGAAGTGTATATTGATAGCGTGCGAATGGAACAGCTCCCAGCTGCTGTGTCAAACATCTTGACACTATCCTCCACCTGTGCCTGCATGGGACCGTGCGTAAGACGGTACATGGGTTCGTGGGTGAATAAGCACATGGATGCATGGGTGCATGGGTGAATGATTGAACGGGTGGGATGGGATGGATGGGATGGGATGGGACGGAATGAGATGGGATGGGATGGGATGGGATGGGATAGGATGGGATGGGATGGGATGGGATGGGATGCGGTGGGATGGGATGGGATGGGATGGGATGGGATGGGATGGGATGGGATGGGATGGGATGGGATAGGATGGGATGGGATGGGACTGGAGTGAGAGGTACACCAAAAGCAAACGGGCAGAAAGAAAACACACACACAATACAACAACATATCCACATTTCACAAATAAACAGATGGAAAAAAAGACTGCTTAGTTTCACAGAAATGAGAGAGCTAAAGGCTGATGGGCTTCCTACCTTGGTGGCACTTGCGATGCCGTGGCTGTGGCTAAACTAGGCATCCTAGCTCATTACTACAGCCCCCCCACCGTCTCAGCACACACCTGCTCCATCTGAGAACTCACCTGCCCCACCACATGAGCACACACTTGACCACCACCTAAAAACTTCTCTGCCCCACCACCTGAAACTTCTCTGCCCCACCACATGAAAACTCATCTGCCCCACCACTTGAAAACTCATCTGCCCCAGCACCTGAAAACTTCTCTGCCCCAGCACATGAAAACTCATCTGCCCCAGCACATTGTCAAATTGCTAGGCAGGAATGAATGAACTAGGAAAGTGTTTGGTACAAATATGAAACCCTAAAGAGATTGTACCCCATACTGGCTACCCCACTACAGCCTAAACATATATAGCAAAAATATAATTTGACCCACCCCCATAGGCAAAGTGGGGGAGAGCAAGGGGTCACAAGACCAGTCAAGAGAAGCAAAGCAAGCTCAGGGTGGATCACAACGTCACCACACACACTGAGCACAAGCAAAGGGCTACAAGGTCAGTTCACATGCAGAGGTATATATGCAACAAGAGCAACACAGTGATCACTACCTAGCAAGAGCAAACATGCACGTATATATATATATATATATATATAGAGATCAGTGTACTCACAAAGTCTACAGCAAGTGAGGAAACGTAGGCACAAGGCCTAACAAAGTACAAAAGCGCTGATGATCACCAGGCGGAAGTGCCTTGGTGAATATATCAGCAGTGTTGGCCCGAGTGGCCACGTAAGCAAGACAAAGCTGACCACGCTGCTGCAACTCTTGAGAAAGGAAGTAACGCCGAGCGATGTGCTTCGTTCTGTGCTCCAGTCTGTGCTCATGACACAAGACAATGTCGACCTTGTTGTCGACGTACAGAACTGGAGGAGAACGAGGCGGCTCTCCCAAGTTGGTCTGCAGGTAGGTGAGCCAGCGTAACTCCTGTGCAGCCATGGCCCCTACATAGATCTCAGCCTCACAACTGGAGTTGAGAATAGAAGACGAGCGCGTAGACCGCCACGAAACAGAGCCAAAACAAAGACTGAAGGTGTAACCCTGTGACGACCGCTGCGTAGCCACGTCGTCAACCCAAGAAGCGTCCGAGTGCCCAGTGAGGACAACATCGCCCCGTCCTCCAAGCACGAGCCCCATGCCCGATGTACTGCACAAGTAGCGCAGTACCCTCTTAGCAACATCCATGTGCACCTTTCGGTGCCTACCAGGAGCCACGTAGCGAGCTAGAAGGCCAAGAGGGTACGCAAGGTCAGGACGTGTGCAGGTCATCAAGTACATGAGGCAGCCCAGTAGCTCTGGGTAAGGACCACTCAGCTCTACGGACTCGTCAAGGTGGAGCTGAGAGCGAGTGACCTGTAGCCAGAGGAGTGGCCTATGCCGAGGACCAGGTGAAGCCGAAGCGCTGAAGGACCTGCTGCACCATGTGTGACTGAGTCAGTGTGATGGTGCGGCGTGCTCTGTCCCGGGTGATCTGCAAGCCAAGGTAACTGCGCAGCTCACCCTGGTCTGTGCACGTGTGTCTCTTCTGCAGCTCCGACTTCACCAGGGCGAGAGCCTCAGTGTTAGCAGTGGCAAAGACCAAGTCGTCGACGTACACGAGGATTTAGAACGGCGGCAGCAAAGTGTTGGTGCGCAGAAACAGCGACGGGTCAGCAGTGGAAAGAGCAAACCCAAGAGCCGCAAGTGTCGTCCTCAGTGTGTCGTGCCACTCACGCGGCGCCTGGCGGAGACCGTAGACTGGCCGCCGGAGGCTCCACTAAGTACCAGGAGGGAACGACCCAGTGAAGTCAGGTGGGCGGCGCTGTCAGATCTCCTCGTGCAGGCTGCCCTGTAAGAAAGATGTGCTCAATTCAAGAGAGTGAAGCTCGTAGTCACGCTGAGCAGCGACGTGCAGCAACACCCGAAGAGTGGTCGTCTTCGGGGTGGTGGAGAAGGTCTGGAAGAAGTCTACTCCCTCCCGCTGACTGAAGCCTCGAGCAACGTAACAGGCCTTGAAGACAGGCGGAGAACCTGGCTGCCGCTTCACCTTGAAAATCCACATGCCACTGACGATGTTCATCCCAGGAGGAGGAACCTCGTCAACGTAAGTGCCAGTGGACTTCCAGGATGCCATAACTGCATCCATGGCTGTTTGCCACTGAGAGGAGTACTCACCCGCGATCGCCTCAGCGTAAGAGCGCGGGGTAGGGATGTCTGGAGCATCCGGGTCTCCTTTAGGGTCAAGCAGCATGGCCACGAGATGAGGTGTAGCGGCTGCAAGACACTCAAGGTCCTCCTGCGTGTCCTCAAGGACGTCCGTGCCAAGAGCACACTCACCCCCGACGGACGGAGGACAGACAGACTCAGACTCAGCAACAAGACTAGCGGCGTAGTCTAGACGACAGGCAGCAGCAAAGTCAGCAAGCTCAGCGACTAAGGCAGACGCAGCAGCAGACTCAAACGATGGGTCAGTGAGAACAGTGGCTAGCAAACGCGTGACAGTAGGGTGAGCAGCACGAGCGCTGTCAAACTCAGGGTCTGGAACGGCAGGCAGGGAAGACGCAGGAGGGGACGGTAGGGTAACACGCTGCGGAGCAGAGGAAGGACGGAGGGCCATGAGGTGTGTGCCGAGGACTGTCGGCGGACGATCACGAGGAACACGACGACCAGTACGACCAGCGCGGACAGTGCGAACAGGCGAGACAGGACGAGACGCAGGCTCACGACGCTCAGCAAGACCTCCTGGCTGCTCAGTATAAGGAGAAGGAGCAGGCAGCTGTGCGTCAGGCTGTAACGGAAGACCAGTAGAAGACGGGAGGCTAAGAACTTGGCGAAGCACGGAGTCAGGTGATGGTAGAGACGAAGGCGACGGTGGAGCGAAGAGCAGTCGCGGTTGTGCAGTGCCACCAGCACCAGTAGCTCCAGCACCTCCAGTGCCAGCACCTCCAGGACTAGTACCTCCAACAGCTCCAGAACCTTCAGCAACAGCACCACCAGGACCAGCACCGCCAGCACCAGCACCCCCAGAACCGGCACCTCCAGTCCTAGGGTCTCCAGCCTCAGTGTCTCTAACAGCAGCACCCCCAGAACCCGTACCTCCAGCTCCAGGGTTTCCAACCTTAGAGTCTACAGCAGCACCTCCAGGTCGAGCAGTACCACCAGCCCCAGCAGCTCCAGTACCCCCAGTATAAGCACCTCTGGGACCAGCTGCTCCAAGAACTCCAGTAGAAACACCTCCAGTAGCAGAGTCACCAGTACCAGCGCCCCCCGCAGCAGGACCCCCAGCTCCAGCAGCGCAACCTTGACAGCTAATGTACCACTCACGCAGCTGCTGTGGGGAGAGCAGGACAGCGCCAGCTCCAGTGCCTACAACGCCAGCACCTCCCATAGCAGGGCCCCCAGCTCCAGCAGCGCGACCCTGACGGCTAACGTACCACTCGCGCAACTGCTGTGGGGAGAGCGGGACACGACGACGAGAGCGCTGCGGCGAGGCACCAGCAGAGCGACTACGGAGGCGGCCGCTCCAAGGAGACTGCTCACAAGGCGCCAGGCACAGCACCCCCAGACCTAGTACCCTCAGGCTCAGCACCCCCAGACTCAGCACCCCCAAGCTCCGCACCCCCAGGCTCAGCAACCCCAGGCTCCGCACCCCCAGACACAGCACCCCCAGAAGCAGCACCCCGAGCAGGACCACCCCCAGCAGGACCTGAGTCACCTGTGACCTCAACCGACTCAGTCAAGGGAGGAGGGTCTACCTGAGACACACATGAAGGAGCAGAACCGGGAGCGGGGAGGGGGTCTACCTGGGGAGGACCTAGAGCGTAGGGAAACAGACGGTAAAAGGGAACCGACTCGTCAAAGGTGACGTCCTGAGACGCAAAGACACGGCGCGAGGCAGGGTCGTAAAACTGCCAGCCAGGCGCGTCAGGGGGGAAACCAAGGGAGACGCTGGGAATGGCGCGAGGGGAGAGCTTGTCCGCAGTGGTATCGCGGACAAAGGCACGAGCACCCCAGACCCGGAACCGCGACGCATCGCCAACCTCCCCCGTCTAACCTAGTGTGTGCGAAGTCTCCGGAATGGAGACACGGGGCCAAAGGTTGAGCTGATGCGCGGCGTACCGGACCGCAAACGGCCACAGAAAATGGG